AGGCTCCAGGCTCTGGAGCCATCAGCCAGAGCCCGACGCTGGGCTCAAACCGCCGGGATCACAGATCGTGACCTGGCTGAAGTCGGACGCCCAACCGACTGCGCCACCCAGGCGCCCCTCTGTTCTGACATTTAATATTTCTTCTATTTCTTTGCTCCTCTAATTTCCTTTTCTTTTTTTATTTTCCTAAAGTGGAAGTTTTAAGTCATTGAATTTACGCCTTTATACTTTGTACAAGTTGAATTTGTATTAATTTATTGAGACTTAATATCCCAGAACATGACCTATCTCGGTAGATATTTCATGTGTACTTGAAAAGAAGGCATATTCTGTCTGGTCTTGTCAGGTAGTATGTTCCCTGTTAATTATATCCAGTTGGTGGACAGTATCATCAAGGTTTCTATATCCTACTGATTCTTTATGTCTACTTACTTCATCAATTATTGGGGGTGTGTTGAAATCTTACTAGTTGTAATTAGGTCTCTCCTGGCAGTTATATCAGTTTCTGTGGCATGTACTTTGAAGTTGTTATTATTATCATCCCCTCTTAACGAATTGACCCCTTTATTACTATGAAATGACTCTACGCCTAGTAATGTGCTTTGCTCCAAAACCTGCTTCGTGTAATATTAATACAGCTACGTCAGATGTCTTTCAATTAGTGTCCCACATGCATATACTTGACATTTATCTTCATATTTAGAATGAGTTTCTTGTGGGCAGCATACAGTTTAATCTACTATCTTGCTGCTTCCTGTATGTACCATCTGGTCTTTGAAGTTGAATGACAAAAGATAAAATATAGAAATAGGATATATTATTCTCCAACATGTTTCTAATATTGTGCTTTGTTGTTTAAGATTTAAAAAAAGGACCGAGAAAGTACCCTATAAGACTGTGTCTCCTCTAAGATGTAATTTTGGTGAAAAAAACCCTCCCTTTATAGGTGGACATCTACAGTATGCAAAGATGCTTCCTAAATTTGTATTTTTTTCATCATGGTAAGTGTGCTCTGTAATCCTCATCACCTGTTTCAGCCACACCCCATTCACCTCCCCTCTGGTAACCACCAGTGTGTTCTCTACATTAAGAGTGCTTTGGGGTGCCTGGGTGGCTCAGTAGTTTGAACGTCTAGCTCTTGATTTCAGCTCACGTCACGATCCCAGGGTTGTGGGATTGAGCCCTGCATCGGGCTCTGTGCTAAGTGTGGAGTCTGCTTAAGATTCTCTCTCTCCTTCTGCCCCTCTACCTCAACTTGCACTCTCTCTAAAGTAAAATTTTTTTTAATTAAAAAAGTGTTTCATTTGTCTTTTTCCTTTGCTCATTTGTTTCTTACATTCCACGTGAATGAGATCTATGGTATTTGACCAATTTCACTTAGCATTGTATTCTCTAGCTCCATCCATGTTGTTGCAAATGGCAAGATTTCATTCTTTTTGATGTCTGAATATTCCATGTGTGTGTGTCTGTATGTATATGTATGTGTACATGTAGACATATACACAAACACATCACATCTTCATTTATCAGTGGACACCTGGGCTACTTTCATAATTTGGCTATTGTGAATAATGCTGCAATAAACTTGGGATGTGTGTGTCCCTGCAAATTAGTGCTTTTTGTATTTTGGCGTAAATACCTAGTAGTGCGATTATGTTTAATTTTCTGAGGACCCTCCGTACTGTTTTCCACAGTGGCTGCACCAACTTGCATTCCCACCAACAGCACACGAGTGCTTTTCCCACACCCTGGCCAACACTTGTTTCTTATGTTTTTGGATTAGCCATTATGTCAGGTGTGAGGTGATATCTCATTGTGGTTTTGGTTTGCATTTCTCCGATGAGTGATGTTGAGCATCTTTTCATGTGTCTGTTGGACATTTGGATGTCTTCTTTAGAAAAATGTCTGTTCATGCCTCCTCATTTCTAATTCGATTGTTTTATGGATGTTGAGTTGTATCATCTTGGATACTGACCCTTTATTGGATATGACATTTGTAAATATCTTCTCCATTCAGTAGGTTGCCTTTTGTTTCTTTTGCTATGCTGAAGACTTTTATTTTGATGTAGTCTCAATATTTTTACTTTTATTTCCCTTGCCTCAGGAAACCTATCTAGAAGAATATTGCTACGGCCAATGTCAGAGAAATTACTGTCTGTGGTCTCTTCAAGGATTTTTATAGTTTCAATTCTCACAATTAGGTCTTTAATCCATTTTGACTTGTGTGTGGTGTAAGAGAGTGGTCCACTTTCATTGTTTTGCCTGTAGCTGTCCAGTTTTCCCAACACCACTTGTGAAAGAGACTGTCTATATTCCTCCTTTGTCAAAGATTGACCATATAATTGTAGATTGATTTTTTTTTTTAATTCTATTCCACTGCTCTGTGTCTCTTTTTATGCCAGTACCGTACTATTTTAATTACTTGCACTTTGTATAGAACTTGAAATCTGGAACTGTGGTATCTTTTTGTTTTTCTTTTTCAAGATGCTTTGGCTATTTGAAGTCTTTTATGGATCCATACAAATTTTAGGATTGTTTGTTCTAGCTCTGCGAAAAATGCTGTTGGTATTTTGATAGGGATTGTGTTCAATTTGTAGATTGCTTTATGTAGTATAGACATTTGGTCATCTTGAATTTCTTTCAGTGTTTTGTAGTTTTCAGAGTGCAAGTCTTTCACCTCTTCCGTTATGTTTATTTCTAGATGTCTTTTGGGGGCGGTGCAATTGTAAATGGGATTTGTTAATTTCTTTCTGTTTCATTATTAGTGTATAGGAATGCAACCAATTTTTGTAGTTTGCTTTTGTATCCTGTAACTTTACTGACTTCACTGAACAGTTCTAGTAGTTTTGTGGTGGAGTCTTTTGGGTTTTCTACGTAGAGTATCATATCATCTGTAGTTTTACTTATCAATTTGGATGCCTTTTATGTTGTCTAATTACTGTGGCTAGGATTTCCAGTACTATAGGGAATAAAAGTGGTCAAGAGTGGACATCCTTGTCTTGATACTGGCTGTGGGTTTTTCCACATATGTCTTTATTACATTGATGTATGTTCCCTCTAGACCTACTCTGCACAGGGTTTTTATCACGAATGGATGTTTTACTTTGGTGCTTTTTCTGCATCTATTGAACATATGGTTTTAATCCTCTTATTGATGTGATGTATCACACTGATGGTTTTGCGAATATTGAACCCTCCTTGCATCCTGGGAATAAATCCCACTTGATCATGGTGTAGGATTTTTTAATGTATCATTGGATTTGGTTTGCTGATATTTGGTTGAGGAACTTTGCATCCATGTTGATCAGAGATCTTGGCCTACAGTTCTCTCTTTTGTGGTGTCTTTATCTGATTTTGGTATCAGTGTGATACTTCATAGAATGAATAGGATGGTTTTCCTTCCTCTATTTTTTGGAATAATTTGAGAAGAATAGGTATTTACTCTTTAAATGTTTGTTTTATACGATTTACCTGTGAAGCCATCTGATCCTAAACTTTTGTTTCTTCGGCATTTTTTGATTACTGATTCAATTTCATGGAGGCTACATAACAGTGAACGGGGTCAACCAAGAAATCAAAAAAGATCAAAAATTACATGCAAACAAATGAACATGATAACACGACAGTCCAAAATCTTTGAGATGCAGCAAAAGCTTAGAGGGAAGTTATACCAATACAGGCCTATCTCAAGAAGCAAGAAAAATCTCAAACAACCTCAACGTACACCTAAAGAAGCCAGAAAAAGAATAAAAAAAACCCCCAAACCCAGCAAAAGGAAGGGAATAAGATTAGAGCAGAAATAAAACAAACAGCTCAGTGAAACCATGAGCTGGTTCTTCAAGATCAATAAAATTCATAAACCTCTAGCCAGATTCATAAAAAGAGGACCCAAATAAAGAAATTTACTAATGAAAGAGGAGAAACCACCACCAACGCCACAGAAATACAAACAACCGTAACATTATGAGAACCTACAGGCCAATAAATTAGACAACTCAGAAGAAATGGATAAAGGCAGGAATAGAAATTTTGAGACCAGTTACCAGCAAAGAAATTGAATCAGTAATCTAAATTTGTATTTCTAATTAAGATGTATCTTATGGGATCCTGACCTCTATATCCAACTGCCTATTTAACAACTCTTCCTGGATGATTCATAGGCAGCTTTAATGGAAACTATCCAAATTCACAGACATTCAACGTCAAATTCACAGAGTTCAAGCTAAGGGATGGGGCCACTCCTGGGGTCAGGGCTGCGACCTTGCTTATTGGTTCATCAGCCGAACCAGCTATCCTGCTCACTGTGTGACACGTACACAGCACCACATGGACCAGAGACCCCAACCCAAGAAGAGCAGACAAGTCCCAAGTAAATCATCAAAAGAACCCTTTATTTTAAATGTAGATAGTACCATAGTTCATCAAAATAATTTATAACAGTTAACTGCCTCTTAAATATATAATCTTATAAATGAGGCCTTCTGAAGTTAAAAGCAATGTGGATTCAGTCTGTTTAAAATTATTTTAAGACATGATAATAGGAGTAAAAAAAAAAAAATCTGTTTCCTATGAAGTCCTTCTAAAAAAGGAAATCATGACAAGTTCCTGATCAGACAAACGCCATTCCATTATTCAAGGGATTAAAAAGAAGCATAAATAAAAGTTTGACATTTCTGTTCAATTTCCTGGGTTTGTCTTTCTGTACATACCTGACCCTTTATAGAGTTAAAATTGTATTCTAGTTTCTCACCATAAGCAAGAAATTCCTTAGCAGCTCAGAAATGATGTTAATGTCTTGGTAAAACATACTTCCTCACTCCCTTGATAACCACTCTGGGCTCCAGTCTCTAGTGTATCTGCTGTCCCACCTTCTCAAAAATGGTTCTACTTAGCTGGGAGATCAGTTCAGGGATTTTCTTGTACCAGCAACTTCTCAAGCCTCACGCCTTACAGAGGAGGCCGACGCTGATGGATTACCATATTCCGGCACAGCAGCCACTTTAACCTTCCAAACGCCACCACTGTGAAGAGGAGCCGTCACAGATCGCCATGGCGACGTAGCCTTTGTGACTCAGTGGGTCGACTGCTCTCAGACACTGTCCAACGGACACCTGGTACAGCCGGTTACTCCTCTGAAAACAAGGCAGCAAGAACACATCACCAGTTAGCTGCATTACCCGAAGAGACGTACTGCCAGAACGGGGCAAAGTCCCAGAGATCCAGAAGCGAGGTGAAACATTCACAATCGTTTACTTATGCAGGGGACACCCCATCTGTCACACTCCCTCCCTCAGCCCCTTCTGTCTCCTCGCACCCCCCCACCCTCACTAAGCCACCTCCTCACCCCAAAGGTCCACTGCTGGGACCCTCCCGACCCGTGGCACTTCATGAGTCGGGGTGGGTCTGAAGAGCGAGTTTCTGACACATCCAGGCAAAGGAGATTATTTAAAACCAACTCGTGCTCTTCGTTATAAATCCAGACCTAAAGAAGAAAATAAAAGATCACAACTCCAAGGTCTGCTTTGGATTTTCAAATTCAGCCCGCACAACAGGTCACGCGTATGTGGAAGAAGAATGGCGTTGTCCCGTGCGGTCTCATAAAGCAGGGAAAGACCAGTGAACCCGGGTCACGTGGAGGCAGCGTCAGCGCAGCTATCTGAAAATGGAATGTGCGAACGGACACAGGAGAAGGAAGTTCAATCCCAGGAAGAAACAGTGGTTCCGTTTTGTTAACTGGCCAAATTAACTGAAGACGGCAGACCTTTTCCAATTCTAGGATTTCACAGTTACACGGCGCCCTTCCTTCCTGGACAGCATGAGCACAGGAGGAGCCCCGCGAGCCCGCAGCGTGGCCTCCTGCGGACAGAGACAGGCTTCTACTGGGCTGTGCCCGCGCGCAGGAGCCGGTCCGTCTCGTTGCCCTGTGGAAAATGGCACTCTGATCCCAGACCATGATGCCATTTGGACTGAGGTGACGATTTCACCTGAGGGCCCGGAAGCAGGGTTTCCTTCAGATGTGCAGATCCTTCAGGATCGTCTTCTTTATGGTCTCTCACGTTATTTTCAGGAACAAAGGCCTAAAGATTGGCTGGACTGGGTAAGTGCGATGAGTAAGTTATTCTCCAACCTGCACCATCACTAAGTCCAAAAGGAATATATTTTCTTCTCTGAATAGTTGTACTCAATCAGTGTTCCTACCTCTAAGCCCAAAATGTATGTGTGCTCTCTATTAACACGAAGCATTCTATAAGTGCAACTTTCTGCAACGATGCTGATGTTTTATAATCTGTGTCGTCCAACATGGGAGCCACATGTGGCTGGTGTGACCTAATTTTACTTCATTTTAATTAAAGAGCTACATGTGGCTCCTGGATACAGCATTAGTACAAATCTGTGTGATCAAAATATAGTACGTTTTCTGGAACAAATCTGTGATGTCATCCTGCTGTGACCTAACCCCCCGAAGCATCACTGTAATTAAAGCCTTCAGTGTCCACAACCCTGATGCCTCTCATACCCACACACAGCATAAAACCCCTTTTAAATCCCGTTTTCCGGTGTGTACGACATCTTGGGAGAGTGTACATGAGCTCTCCTAGAAACGAAAGGTCTTGCGTGAACTTTCAAAGGGCACATGCTATCTAAAAAGCCCGATATCCTTTTGGTCTTGAGTGATGCCATCCCTGCCACTCAAGTGGACAAGAAAGTCACTTCCCTGTGACCCATCTTGAGTGCGGCAGTCTTGAGACTGACCCTAAGACTATATTAGCCTGTTACCAGATCCAGAACAGCTTGAAACGACCGTTCCAAACTGACATAAGTCTTCTGCTTATTTTTAGGTCCACTTCAATACCACTGAAAGGGCGCACAAACAGATCATGCGAATGACACAAAGGACACTCTGTTGTGGTGTCCCTGAGGCACTACTAAAACGCAGGGAGATTGGATTTCAGAGACAACACTACAGACCCATCCACCGCAGAGCTCATGTCCTCGCCCAGAAGGCAGGCGCGCTGCCTCGGCCCCTTCCGACCTTCATACACTTCTGTTTATCCTGTGTAACTGCAACGTACGAATAACGTTCCCGACGGTGACCGAGGGTAGGAAAAATGTACAAAGGAGACAAAAATAGTTTCATTACGTGATCTCTAAAGTCATTCCCAACTCCAACCATCTCATTTAAGAAAAGTCAGATTAAAATCTTCATGTCCACCCCTCCCTCCTCAGGCATGACCTCAGGCAAGTTCCCTTCTGGGAAGGACACCTTCCAAGGACTGGCTGAGCCCAGAGCCATCGCTCACCTGACCGGGGTCACTGTAGTCACACGCTTTAAGCACCACCAGGCCTCCTTTCTGACTCGGGCGGCCCTGGGCCACCAGACACTTGTTGGTCTGGAGGTGATAGAGCTGTAAAAGGAGAGATCGCTCTTGTCAGAAGATGCCTTAGATGCTAAATAAGGAGGTTTTAGATGAAATGCGAATTGATTACTCCAAAGGTATGAATTTCAAAGGTCCTAAGAAAATAAGCATTTTTTTATTCCTTAATTCTAGCTTCAGTACATAAAGGTGTCACGGTAGACTTTAAGGTTAAAGGCAGTTTTAACAGTATATGCAGGCAATGCCAAGAGGAAATTCTAAAAATATAGGTTTACTAATCTATTCTAGGGGAGGAAGGAAATTAAAACCTCTCTGCCCTCAAGAACCTTCAAATGAAATCAAGGAAATAAGACTAAAGGTACTGACCAGACAGCACATAACTGAACGAAATATACAGGCTAAACTGGAGGGAGACACAGATCGGGAACAGCACAGGGGAGACCCAAAAAAGCGGCAAAGAGTATGCAGTTTGGGTAAAGGGCTACAACTACATGGGCATACGCTGTGTTTTTACTTTAAAAACAAAAGGTGGTTTTGTTTTCATAAAGAGGACAAGGGGAAAGCTCTAGGCTTACTTTAGCCACTGAGGAACAGTCGGCATCACGAAAGATCCTGACAAGTGCCTTCTTAACACAAAAGAAGAGAAAACTGTGCAACAGAGTAGCTACACTTTCAGAAAGCAAATTCTATGAAATGATTCAGGAAAAAGGTATGACTTTACGGCTAGACCCCTAAACTTTAAAAGTGATGTAAAACTGTGAAGAAATTCCTTAAGAAATAAAAGAGAACGGGGGCGCCTGGGTGGCTCAGTCAGTTAAGCATCCGACTTCGGCTCAGGTCGTGATCTCACAGTTCATGAGTTCAAGCCCCGCGTCGGGCTCTGTGCTAACAGCTCGGAGCCTGGAGCCCGCTTCGGATTCTGGGTCTCCCATTCTCCCTCTCTGGCCCTTCCCTGCTTGCGGTCTCTCTCTCTCAAAAAAGGGAGGAAGGAAAAAGAACTTCAAAAGAAACGTGGCCGCTCATGGGTGTTCCTGCGCAGCACGTGGGTCCTTACACACTGGGTGTGAACTGGAGGGACGCGCCCCATCTCTCACTTGCTCTCCTGAGTCGGTTCCCGAGCTGCGGCCACAGAGCAGAGTGTGACCCCATTTCTCCTTTTCTTTTCTTTTGGGACCGGACTCTGCCCAGGGAGCTTTACGCTCTCCTGTGGCTTTTATTTGCATATCGCATAGTCACATTGACGTCCACCCTCTCGGCAGCTAGCCTATCACTTTGAGAATCGTGTGCTCCTGAATGCTGGCAGGTGAAGGGTGTTAATGGTAACAGTGAAGACAGGAACATTCCTAAGGTCTCACTCCGAGCAGAGGAAGCTCCCACAGAAAGAATGCAACGGAAGCAAGCTAACGTCTATCACTAAAATGATACTTTCAGTCTAAAATGTCATTGGTCTTATCATACAACTTTGAATAAAACACTGATAAGATTACTTCCTTACCCTTCCACGCTGAAGGACTTTGGGACGTTTTGGCCCTCTGTTGATAAAAATGGGTTGTTGGGGTTTGGCATTGGGCCCAGATATCTGCATCTCTGGGTAAATATTATCCAAATACCACTTAAATGATTTACAGCCCAACTTCCTCCTCAGTTCAACACGCTCACTGATGTTTCCGTAACTTTTGGTCCTCAGGTCAGGTCTTAAGGAAAAATACTGCTCCTGAATTTTAAAAAGAAAAACGAAAAATAAGGGAATGGCCTTTTTAAAATTAAGTAGTATCAATTGTACCTGAGTCTTAAAGAGCTGAAGTATTTTTCACGCTGGTGTTTTCTTCACGTTGCCAGAAGATGTCAACATGAAGTTATCAATTAGGTCCGTCGTTGATGGTAAGACATTTTAAACTCTAGGAAACGTCCGAACCTCAGAATCGGCAACACATGTAAAAATGTGATCCCAGAATCAAGGAAGCTGCACATGAGGGGGCAGTTCTCCGACTCTGTCAGGACTATGATCTTAACGATTCCCAAAGACTCTGGGGAGGTTCGTGTGAGTTACATCTGCTCGTGTTTACCAGGAGAGACGTGAAAACATTTGTCAACTCTTTAAAAATAATTCATTACCTATGAACATAAACATGCTTTGAACAAGAAATTTAGTGAGAACAGTAACACTGCTTTACAGTTTTGCAAATCTTTTTAATGTCTGGCTAGAAAGAAGTCAGCTGAATTCTCAATTCTGCATTCAACCTGTTATTATATGTTGTCTGGTTAAATACATTTTTAAAAATATGAGCATGTGAAAACATATAGTTTGAGATGGAAGGAGTATTTTAATAGCATTTTCAGAGAATTATGGCTATTCTTTTCTGATATTATACCAGAACTCTAGCCCTTCACATTCCACATCGTGGCTAACCTTTAAATTGTATCATTGAGCTTTCCTACTTTTGGGTTAAAATCTGCTGTCTTGCTCTGTGACTGGATCTTTTACCCATCCAAGATCTGCTTCCGCTGGGTTGTGAAGTTCTTTCAAATAATGACAAATTTCAGTATTAAGAATTACATTCATAAATATTCCTAATCTCCTCAGAAAAGCGTTTAAGTACCAGAAGCGAGTAAGCTCATAGGGGTGGATACAAGTTTTCCAAAACTGTAATTTTTCACCTGAAAGCTTGAATTTTATCATTGGCAACAAATGCTGTCTGTCGAAGTGAGAGGGTCAGTTGGTTCATTTTTGAGACTATCTGCCAAATATCCAAACAGAAATAACCATGGTTTGTGAGTCACTCTTTTCTCCATTTATGTAAAAGTGATCAGTCCAGCTCACAAGTCGAACAGCTGCACACATTTTTCCTTGCCACAAGCACAGTGCTTCGGTGTGCAGTGAAAAGTGCTCTGTCCGCCACGTCTCAGCACTCCGAGCTTGCCAAGATTTAGTGGAATTTTTTGCACCACTCCACCGTTCCTGCACCATCGGCGCAACGCCGACACGGTGAAAGGGGCAAGTCCCGTATTAATCTGTGAAAACAGGTTCGGCCCAGCGTCCTCCTAGGAGGGCAGCCGGGATCTAGGTGGGTCTGAGGGCCGCCAGGAGACAGTAGGACTCCAAGCTGGTGACCGTGGAGAAGGAGCTCAGAGTCTAGAAGAGGGACAAGGGAGGAGACACGCGGTGTGATAGAGGCGTGACCAGGAGCCCGCACTTCCGGTCCCAAGCGGTGATCTGCTTGGTTCTCATTACCCCCACAGCACGTACCTCCATACCCCAAATGCACAGTGTCATCACTGTGCATTCCCTCCTTCGTCACTGACTCCCCCAAACCTAACACGGAGCCTGATATGGAGCAGATGCTCAAACGCCTGTTTACAAACAACTGTATGCAAGTATTCACAGCAGCACTTTTCACAACTCATGAAAGGATAAAACGTGGTGTCTTCGGCCAGGGAGTATTATTGGATTACAAAGAATGAAGTACCGGCACATGGCGCGGTATGGATGAACCGGAAAACACCACGCTGAATAAGATGGCCACAAAAGGCCATGTCCTGTAGGGTTCCGTTTGTAGTAAGTGTCCAGAACAGGCACATCCAGAGAGTCAGGGGGTAGATTAGTGGTTGTCTAGGGCTGTGGGAGATTAGGGGGTGATAAAATGGTTTGTGAATTATTCCTCAGTAAATCCGTGACCAAGGAAATAATCATCACAGGGTGTGCACAGCGGAAGAGAAAGTGGGAGGTACGATCCTGCACGTGCAGAGTCGAACGGGGAAGTGGCAGGACCGGCACACGAACCCCAAGGGGCAAAGAGAAGGAGTCACAGGAGAGGAACGAAGACACTGAAGAGAACACTTCTTCTGGTGTTGGCCGAATCTCCTTTTACAGGGTGGTCACTTGGAAAATTAAAAGAGGAGTCACAACAGCAAACGAGAGAGAAAAGAAATGTAGGGAGAGAAGGCCCCGTGGTTGTCCCAACAGAAATGCGCCGGAGCGAAAAGGCAGGTAACCAGAGCCGCCCGCAGACGCACAGCGGCCCAGCCGACCCCTCCGACCGAACAACATAACCTCACCTTGTATTCATCCAACCAGACGTGTGCCAGCCGCAAGGAGTTGTGGGTCATGGTGTCCTGGCCTTCAGGAGAGCCATACGGTCGCCTTTTTCGGAAAATGTGTCCGACTCTAGAGCACGGGATGATGAAGAGTTTACCTCCACACATCCAGATCTGGTCGGGGCAAAACATGTATTAATAGTTGCCTGCAACTGCTATGAAATCAATGTATGCATTTTCATGAAATTATCAGGTGTTCATGCAACTTTGCAAGATGTCTTACAGAACTGTCAAAGAGTACCTTGGAAAACAACGTCTTTAAGAAGAAACTAAATTCTAAAATGACGTAATATTCTTTTACTACCGTGTGTCTAAAATCACACTTACCATATACTTTGCTGTTTTAACAGATCAAGGAACTTGATCCTCAGGACTTAGGGAGAGAATGCTTGTTGGCGGGTCCCCTACTTTAAGTTTACTGGTACTTTAATAACATGTATATACACACAAATAATGAAAGATACAGAATAACTCCAGGTTAAGATTCAAAAGATCTTAGTTCTGGTCTAAATTTTGCCCTTGATTATCTGGGTATTTTAGTTTTTGTGGGACTCCATTAGTTTATCTCCAAAGTAAGAAGACTGAATTAATGATATGTTATTCCTTTCATCTTTAAAATTCTAAAGATTATGTAGGAAAAACTGCCTTTTAAAAACATTCTGGTCAATACGTTGCAGAAAGACAAAAGGACACACGCACACGTACTATCTGGATGGGGATCCTGCCGTGGGGACTGGGCTGGGGACATGTGCAAGTTCGGAAGTCTGTGTGCTCGCCCTTGCCCTCGTTCTGTCCTTTGCAAAGACTGCCTGACCCCACCTCCTCCAGTTCCCTGAGCCCCAGACCCCAACTATACCATCATCTCTCCAACTTTAGCAGTTGGAGAGGAGGACTGATTATGAAAAATGAATTCCTTCCTCAGGTTGCAGGTAGTTGTATGTATGAGGCCTCCCACTAGCTACTTCTGAAAGTGGAATGCAGAGCTATTAGTACTTTTCCTGGGAGATCTGGGGTGAACCAGGATGGTCTTAGCCAATCAGGGAAATCCGATCACGCTAAACATATATATATATATATATATATAT